GGGGGGGGGGGGGGGGGCTTTTAGCTCCTTACACATCTTTTTGGTTGGACAGGTTCTTCATCAGGTGTGGGAGGGATAAAACCTATTTAAAGTACCTGATAATGACAATAAGAACGAATTACATATTATATTTGATAGAATATGAAATGTATTAGTTGGCTTGAGAATCAGCTGTACACACATGTCGTCACTATAATTAACTCACAAAGCATGCTCAGAAAGGTGGAGACAGGCATGCTCCGTGCAGAGTGGCAAGCATCACTTCAGATGGGTAGTTAGCATCCTTTGGATATTTTCTCTAGTTATCGACGGTGTGTTGGGAAATGAGCAGGTGGATAGACTGGCCGGTTCTGCACCACTTGGTGGTGAACTGATATATGACAAGCTGGATATTGTGAGAGCCCTTTGGGAGCGAGTGAATAGTGCCGAGGAACAGATAGATCAATACGGTCTGAGGAAAATGGCACTGCAAGGAGTTACAAGGGAATCTGGCCTACGCTCGACACTCGGGGGAGGGGCGAGACGGATATACAATCAGACTGTTACCATCGGTATTTTAACTCTTCGCTTGCTGCTGAAGATGGGGACGGAGCGCTTATGGGAGTATCCCAAGTGCTGAAATGTCAATTCTTAATTCAACATTAGTTAATAATTTAAAAGAGAACTGACTTTTAAAGGGTTTGGGGAACTATTTAGTTCCTTACATATTGTCTTAAGTTCTGAGGAGTGCTGAGATTCCACTTAGAAAATTTGCAAGAGAGATAAATTGTCCTCCTAACCATATCATGTTGTTCCCTGTTTAAGTATTTGATTATACATATCATATTATTTCCCTTACAATCATCATCAATCAGGTGCCATTCCCACAATGAAGGTTTATTTCAAACATACAAGAGGTGTTCAGAAAGTAATGCACCACACTGTTTTTCTCAGGAGCTCTTTTTTCAAGAAGCCCAAAATGTATATACAATATGCATAGATATGTCATGTAAACATCAGCTATCATTCAAGTTCCATAAACTTGAACAGCTTTATGCCAGTTTGAAACAAGTGCTCCCATTTTTAGTTCGTTATCACATTTGTCTTGACCATGTAGCCATTTCTTTGCTGCATAAATCACTCCTTCATCCTCTTCAAATCTTGTCTCAGGAAGTGCATCACTAAGTGGACCAAATAGATGAAAATCAGAGGATGCTAAAGCTAGCTTATGGGGTGGATAGGATTGTACAGTTCAACCTAGTTTGGTGACTTCTTACCATGTTGCCAGATTTGTGTAAGAGTCTGCACTGTCGTGAAGGTAAAGTAGGTCTGCTGGATTCTTGTGAGGCTGAAGTATGCAAAAACACAAAGTTCAGAAGAAATTGCTTTCCTTTGCCACTGGCGGTCATTTGTAAGATTTCGAGGAACCCATCTTAGGCAAATCTTAGAAAATCCAAGTCTTTTATAATGGAATTTGCATTATTATTTCTGACTTACAGCGTGTAAGGCAAGTTGTTAAGTAGAGATTTATCAATCAGTAAGAATAATGCCCTCAGAGCATTTCAACCCTGGCGGCTGTGTCAAGACCTCAACAGTGCGGCCGATCGAGCAGGTCCACATCCTAATTCTTTGATTCTGTGAACCCAATGACTGTACTCCTGTCCACTGCAAAACTTCCATACATTTCACATAGATGTTTGTGAATGATCACAACGGTTTCTTTTTCTGCAAGGAGAAATTCTACCACAACTCGCTGCTAATACCACATGCTACAACACTATAGGGAAGCTGTATGTCTGGCCAGTTTCGGTGCAGTTTGGTACACAAAATAGTATCATATTTGAAGTGTGCAAAATGTCATGTTTCTAACTTCATTATTAGCTGAGAAAAGCTTTAAATGTCTGAACGCCCCTCATATTACTTCATTTATTTGCCGTTCAGCACATAACAGTAACAATAAATATTAATGCAAACTTAAACAAGGCTTTCCCCGTATTAGTTCTGGGGCCCACTGCTTTCCCAACAAGCATGTCATCAGAGCTGACTAGCTGGTGACTTCCTTCGAAGTTAAGAGTACATCTGCCCAAGCAGCAAGGAACAACCAATTCCACTCAAATAAGTCGGTAAAATGGATGCACAGGCAAGACTCAGGCCCTGGCACACAGCCAAAGACCAAACAACTAGGACTTTCCACCCGAGCTTACAGCCAGTGAAGAGAGAACAAGAAATAACAGTGCTTAAGCCTTTAACCCTATTCCTTGAAAAATACAAAGGCCGAAGTGCCCCTTCTCCCCCCACAGATTCCTTAAGGTGCTGTGCCTGAATGTCACCAAGGACTGAATGATAAAGCCACAAAGAGAGTATGCTGCTTGCATCAGAACATTATTAACCACATTCTTTGGTAGATTACGAAATATGAATGCTAAAGCTTATCGACATAGCACATGATGTTGATGATAAGAATTAGCCATTGTCCTTTCTGTCATTTCCGGAGAACTGGAATATGTCACCATGACTGAAAAGATCAGAGGTAGATTTGGCAGACTCAGAAATGATGCTGTGTGGTCTAAGATAATGGCATATCTTCAATGGAATAAATCCTCACCCACATGAGGAGATGATCTTCATTCTTTCGTCATGTCAAAAGAAAAGGAAAACTACAGCACTGTGATGACAGGAAAGTTAAAAGGGGGGAGGGGGAGGGGGGGGGGGGGAGGCAGCTGGAGACTGAGAGAGAAGATGCTGGGCAGTTTGACATCATGACATGGAAGATCATCTGTCTCAGACTGAAAGTATTTGAGATGGAAGGTTAAGGATTGGCATGACTACTAAAACCACACACACAGAAGGGGTGTAAGATGAATTAATTCAGAACAAAGGGCGATGTGATCAAGCCCTGTGCCACAGACTCTGAAGGCTGTAGGTTCATTTCACGAATCCATCATTCAGTTCTTACAGAGATCCCTGGGCACTGTTGGTGGAGCTGCAAAGTTCATACTTTGTGTAATGCTCTCGGATGGCAGACACATATTCTAAGGAAAGAGACTGATCTATATGGGATAACCTGGTGCAATGAAGATGATCCTATCCACTTTCAACTGAATCCTGAACACCAAGGATAGAGATCAGTGAAAAGACATGAATGTCTATGTGACAAAGCACATAAGAGTGGTGTAGCAAAGCTAAGACTCAAATACACTCTCAGACAGCACTGGGCTAAAACCCAAACACTAATTTCAGTGAACATGTGATTCCACAAATATTTTATTTAGCCAAATATCATAAATAAAACATGAAGCAATTTTAACGTAACAGAAAAGCGTAAAATGTAACACTTCATAAATATTTGATGATGATTAAATATTTGATGATGATACTTTGTGTGGGTTCTGTGATCCTACTGGGAGATGGAAGGGGGAAAACAGACCCAGTTTATCATTAACAAGCATGTCATAAAAGGCAACTAATAAGGGCTTTAACGAAATCAGATGTGTTCAGTTAAAAGGCATGGATTTCACAGTCTAGCTGTGAGCCACTAATTATGCCCAGTCTTTTATAAGATGAATGAACACAGCAAAATATGATGACAATGAGGATACACAGGCACCCAGGATGATATGATAATGGAGAATAAACAATAGGCTGAAATGAAATAAAGACAAGTGAAAGAAAGAAATGAATAGATGACTTCTCAGATAAATAAAGGTGTTTAGAGGTAAGACAATCAGCTTCAGTGTACAAAGTTTTATCCAGTTTGGCTCGATCTCTTTCCCGTGTAGTTTCTGGTACCCCAAATATGGGGAAAACAAGAATTGACCCACTGCCTTCCCAGCAAGCTTGTCGTAGGAGTTGACTAACTGGGGACTTCCTTCGAAGCCAGAGTACATCCGCTGAAGAGGCAAGGAGCAACTAATTGAACAAAGAAGAAAAAGGTTCAGTCCCTAACCCCAGATCATTTGTTCACTACTTGGTGATAACTTGACTCTTGACAAGCCTGTTCTGTGTTGATTAATGAAATGTCTTGTCCCCTTAGTGAAATGTTCATTTCTTGCAGCTCCAGGCTGCACTCCCATATCCATCAATCTAGACAGGGATACGGAGTCATGCTCATTGATGATTGGTGCGTGTGAATTATACCCAATCATTTATAGTGCACTGTTTTGGGGCAGAAAGAGTTAAGACATCAGCAAACGACACACATCACAGATAAAGCATCATTTAGTAGCAACTCTTTTGCAGATTGCGGAGAAACCAATCAGTTTCCTGGATTTTTTTCTGCGCCCAGTGAACTTTCATTCCCCAGGTGTCTTTGATATCTAATGTCCCCTGTCATGGTGTTTGACCCCTGTTTTTTTCTTCCAGAAACTAAATCTCTCATTACTGTTTTCCACAAACAGCTTTGGCGTTTAAAATGGCCAATGTATTTCAGTTTCTGAGAAAAATACTGTTTATGAGTTAGTATTCTAAATTTTCAGACTGTGAAGAATATAATTTTTCTACTTTGTGAAGAATTTAAGTATTTTTTCCAACTGTGGTGAATGTCAGTATTTTCCCACTGTGGTGTATGTCAGTATTTTCCTACTGTAGTAAATGTCAGTATTTTCCTACTGTGATAAATGTCAGTATTTTCCTACTGTGGTGAATGTCAGTATTTTCCCACTGTGGTGTATGTCAGTATTTTCCTACTGTAGTAAATGTCAGTATTTTCCTACTGTAGTGAATGTCAGTATTTTCCTACTGTGGTGAATGTCAGTATTTTGCTCTTCCTGCTCCAGAATACTCTAAGAAATCTTCCTGCAACATTTAAGTCAAAAGCCCAGATTAATTTCTTGAGTGACAGCAGAACAATGAGTATGATTAGGAAGCCATATTTCTCTGAGCAGAATGTAGCTAGTTTCCTTCCACGCTCTTTCCCAACTCAGAAGAGTGGAAATTATAACCTCTGTTTCTCAATACATGAATTCTTTCGTAAAAAATATACACAAATAAAAGAAGAAAATGTTACATGCAGTTTGGCAAATTTATTTCCTCTTCCCACGACTTATAACCTGCCATCCATCTTCATCTGTTTTTTTTTCTTCCGTCACTTCCATTTCTTCCATATTGTTATCTGAAAAATGCAACACAATTAGTTTTCCTAAATATTAATGGAAATACAAAAGGAAACAACTTTTTTTCGTCACACGCAATGCAGCCAATTTTACCCAATTTTTGATGGAATTTATATGCCTTTGAATGCACATATAAACTTTTTGGAAATCAGTGATATGTTATGCGTCTTTTCCAATATGGGTCATAAATCAGAGATACTCTTAGGAAAATAAGCTTTCTTCTTTCTTCTACTTGTGTTTGCTTTCTGATTTACACTGACAGACGGGTTCTTGTGATGAACTTGACTGCTTTTAGAAGTTTCCTTTTAGTTCCATACAACTTTGAGTACAGAGTGTGACTCAGTCGGCCAGTATTTCCTTCTTAATGGGCTCTACAAGGGACATTCTTGCAGGCCTGTGCATATGCTTGTTAAGTTTGTTATGACCTGTCCTAAGGCATAGAATAATAGCCCATACAGGTCAAGTAAGTGGTAGCCACATCTGGCCAGACTCTGCTTACTACTGATAGACTGGATGGCCCTTTTCTGCTCAAAGTATGGTTACTGCGTTCTCTTTCTGTTCACATGCTGCCCCTTTCTTAGCAAGTTTATGTGCAGTGTTGTTTCCTGGTATACCACAGTAGAATGGCACCCACTAGAGTACAGTACGCATTTGGGCAGCCACCTTGCCAAGTTCAGATCTCAAGTGAGGGAGTTTGCCACTCTTTAAGCACAGATAGCGCATCTGTGAAGATGAACACTTGGTTGCAGTCAGAACTGGTGTTGTGTAACATTTCGGCAGCCTGCTCTACTGTGTAGTTGGAACAGAATTTACCAGTGGTCAAAACTTTGTGTGGCGGATGTTGTTTGGATATGTGATAAAGACGCCAGCACCCCCATTTCTGATCCATTTGTGCGAGCATGTATCCGTGACTGTTAGTGATAATCTTCCTGGATCATACTAAGAGCAGCTGATCATTTTTGAAGGTCACTGAACTCTACTCCAGCTGTGAGTTTACTGACTGAAGTCATTATCTATATTGTGTCGCTGAGTTGCTCCCAAGGTACAGGCTAGGTTTCAGCTGTTATTCTTATAGCTATATCTGATTCTGTCTTTTAAGTATTTTAAGTTGCTCCGTTCCTGTGCCAATGAAAACCACGACAAAGGTCCATCACTGACCACTGATACAAGCTGCCATATCAGCAAAGCGAACAGCATACAAGCACATAAGAATTGAATTCAGTTGAGGTGAGTCAAGAATTGACATCACAGCACTAGGGGCATTCCCATGTGTACTCCATCCTCAAGTTCCAATACTGATGGTACCGGTCACAATCTGATACACATAAGAAGTGCCAATAAAAACAGTCCAGCACCAGAAATGAAGTCCATGGTTGATCGAAACAGAAATTACAACAGATCAGTTGTTGCACACGAAATTAATCGCATAATTTACAATCTGTTCCCTGGAAAGAGGCCGCTCGCCATTTTCTTAATCTGCAGTTGACAACACAAGCCACGTTGGGCACAGCCAAAGTTGAAGTTTTATTAACTGCTTCTCACAAAGGCATGGCAGATAACAGTTTTGCCTGGATTCACATCCGTCTGTCCATCCCTTTATGAACAAAACTTGAAGTGCCTTTACCTGCACCCATAATGGTGGCCAGTGCTTGGCAATGTAAACTATCTAGTTTACTTTTTGTGCAATCAGTTGTTAAGTCATAGACAATGCTTCCATATTCTACATGATGATGATGAGGAGGATTTAAAGATTCCTCCGCAGACAGGTGCAAGTGTTCACTTAATTTCTATTCACAAACACAACCATTTGATACAAATACCACAAACAGAATGTGACATATTACCAGTTTCTATCCACAAACACAACCATTTGATACAAATACCACAAACAGAATGTGACATATCACCAGTTTCTATTCACAAACACAACCATTTGATACAAATACCACAAACAGAATGTGACATATCACCAGTTTCTATTCACAAACACAATTAATTGATACAAATACCACAAAAAGATGTGACATAACACCAAGTTCTACTTAAGAACACAACTATTTGATATAAATACTAAAAAGTGAATGTGACACATTACCAATTTCTAATCACGAACACAACCATTTGATACAGATCCCACAAACAGAATGTGACATATCACTATTTTCTACTCATGAACATTTGAAACAAATACCACAAACAGTAGGTGACAGATTACCGGAGGAGGCTGCAGGCTGTAAGGATGCTGAAGAACCATGGTGCTGACTTGAAAATGAGGTTCTGTTTGGGGAAACTGCCCATTCTTCTTCCAACTGAAAAATGTGTTCAGATTTTATGTATAACCAAACAAATATAAAACAATCGCAATATCACAAACACTTTCCAGTTCATTGGCTATTGCAGAACCAACCCCAACATTTCTGTTTGTTTGGTTTTACTAAGCAGTTTTGTTTCAGAAGTTTGCCATTACTTTCTGAATGGCTAGCTTCTGATACCACAAGATGGTCTGCTGCCAAATCACCCGCAGATGAGATCGAAACCAGCAGATCAGAATTATGAAGCGCATTCATAATACCTAATCCACACTTTCTAGTAGAAACAACAATTCTTGGTATTGCTACCAGTCAGAGACTTACTAATATCATTCAGGGCTAGGCACCCACATTTACTCTTCTTCTGCTTTCTAACCTCCCCCCCTCCCCCCCCCCCCCACCCATAGAGAATAAGCCCTTAATCAACTCATGCCAAGTCGTTCTATCTGTTGCTACTGCACGTAGCTGACCCCACGACCTCCCCAGCAACTTCTGCTGAGCCATAATTCCAGAGAAAAGATCAGAAGTGAATGTTATGGGAAAGATTCTTTTGATAACATAAACAGTACTTCTTTACATTCCTAAACTTTAAACACCCAAAGTGGTTTTGCTTTTCTGAAATGACTACTGCGACCCGTTCTTTTATCTGACTGTCATTTCTCAATTTTGTGTGTGTTAGTATTCATTTGAAACAACAAAATTTGAGAGAACTTTATTCCTCATGCAGATGGTGTAATTAAAAATAAATTCAAAGATAAAATCTGGTGTGTGTACACTAGTTTCTTGTTCCTCTACTTTCCCAAAAAGGCAGCTAGCAAACTGTGATGTGGCTTACAGCTAGGTTGCGATATCTGCACATGTGGCCATCACATATGGTTTCAGAAAACATTTAGTGTGTTTGCTTTTGTGACACAACTGTTGTTAATAGCAATGGGTCTAATCTATACCTCCTCTCCCCAACAGGGGCCTAAACCAATACTGGATATTCAGTGTTTTATGAAGATTTTAATGGGACCCTACTATATAAGGTCCTTTGAAATTACTGTGTGTGAGATTCTGAGAAACATTCTGTTGAGAAACAACTGGCCCTGCTGCTTCGAGATACCAGCTAAATGATTTTTGTGTATCTGTGTAGTATTGTTTAATTTGTATGTGCTGATGAAGGCTCAAAAGCTGCAACGTTCACGTTTTGTTTGTATTTTTTATATTGTGAAGCTTGCTAATATACTTTTCGTTGTTTTATATCTTTTTTGAAATTACTGGAGAGTTTTGGGAAACACCATTCTGGTCTCAAGACTCAACGAAGGAGGAAAACCCAATCTCACCTCCACGTGGTAGAGAAGAGTAAACACACTCCAGTGTGGCCAACGCAGCTTTGAAAAATGACTAACCACTGGGACAACTGGACACCTCTGGGGTGCCCTCTGCTGTTAGCAGGAGCATCAGAGAGCAGAGGCAGGCCTGCCCTGGTAATCTATAATTTTACTGAAGGCTGAAGGACATAGTCTAAAGCCATGTGGATGTGGAAATCAAGGGGAAACTCCCACATTATTATCCCTAGAAACTCATTATGGAAGCCAAAAAATATGAGAGCTGGCGAGAGATCAAGATTCTCTCAGGCAGACCGTGATGAGAGCGACGTTCTGCAAAGTACCTGCTATAAGATGATGAGTATATAAGGTAACCAGATAAACGCAGGTTCAACTTCATAGCAAACGGGTCGCCACATAGTTGTTCCGTTCCTGTGCCAACAAACACACACAGAATGTTAATCACATTCCCGTTGAAACAGTTTAGACTGCAGTCTCAGCAAAACCAAACAGCACACGCAGGCATTAAATGCATGTCAGCTATCAGAAGTGTCAATACAAACATCTGGTACCAGAAAAGCAGTTCATCATCAATGAAGGCTGCAGTTATATCCTAGTGATATCTTAGTTCAATGAAAGGATCCTTTTCCATGTCTTCAGGCCTACTGGGCATATAGGGCTAGACCTATATTTTATAGACTAATCAGCACTAGGACTATATGACTATACCTGGTACCCATTAGAGGCTGGGTAGACCTGGGAGCTAAGGTCATTTTTTTTAGTCTGACCCCTGCCAGGACCCAAATCCACGACCTTCCAACCCGCTGGCATGTATCTAGCCACTACACCATGGTAGCTCGCTAGTGATGTCACAGTAGGATACGCTTTAGGCAAACAGCCAACAATACTCACAATATCGACATCCCCAACCATTTCATCATCACCCCGTCGACACTGCTGTACAGCTGGCTTAGGTAATGCCTGCAATTTCTCTTCTACTTCAGCCACTTTATTTTCTTGACAGAGGCGGAACAACAGACAAATCAGATGAGAAATCTGGAGTGATACAGAAGGGATGCACATAAATAAACATTAAAATGTGGCAAACCGATGTATTCTGCACTGATTCTTCCTCCTCTGAGGGTTCCTAAGCTGTAAACTCCAGGGGGAAGTTATGGACTTTGGCCTTGTTCCAGAAACTGAGTTTTTGCTTGCACATTTATTTCACAGATCTGGCTTATTTTTATACAGACTGTTGATTTCTTGCCTCTCAGATGGATGCACTCTAACTTCAAAGGAAACACCACAAATTAGTCACCATTTATCTTCTTTCTTCACATTCACCAGCTGTACACACTGGTGGAAAGTTCTGGTTGTTCGTCCACTTCTGTACTGCAGTGCTACTCCAGAACCTGACTCTTGCGTGCGCATTAGTTTTACGGATCTGATTCACTTGAATCCAGACTGCTGGTTCCTTGCCTCTCAGGCAGATGCACTCTGACTTCAAAGGAAGCCCCTAATTAGTAGACTCTTATGACATGCTCTTGGGTAGGCAGTGGGTCTATTTTTGTTTTCCCCACAATGGGGCCCTGGAAACCACAGGGGGGGAGTTACCATTTATGATATACCTTGGGCGGGAAAACTGCTTGGGTCAATTCCTTGTTTGTCTAAAATTGGGCCCCGGAACCAGACAGAGGATATTCTGCACTATTTAGTTTGTAATCCCCCCCAACCCTTATATTATGCTTTGAAAGTAAGTTAATTCTTTCAGTACTGGTTAGTTACATTAGCAATAATTCAACCCAAAGAGTTAACAACCCTTGTGATACCAATGGCCCATTGGAAGAATGTAGTTAACATTACTCACTGGACACATCTAAAGACCTATAGATTTTTAACTAATCAGCACTCAATGGATGATGTGGTCAACATCACACTGACCAGCTGTTACCTTCTATTATATTTCCTGATACCCAGCTTTTTCTGTGTCTGTGATGAAAAACTCAAACAGAAAACCTTCAGGCCAGCAAATACTGTGCTGCAGATACAGCATCTCCCCCCCCCCCCCACCCAATAAGACTGGGACTTGTATTAACTTTTGCTTTAAAAAACGCACCAGGAATTATTTTTGAGTCGTGTCTTATGGTTTTTCAGATAGAAAAATCTACATTTATTCATGTACAAAATTCTACATTTATTCATATACAAAATTCTACGTTTATTAGTATACAAAATACTACATTTATTCAAATACAGCCATGCCATCTTCTTCTATAACATCATCAAAACTCTCACAATCCTGAATTCTGGCCTGAATTTCTTGTGAATTATGAACCTTACCTGTTCATTATCAAGTGTGCACCAGTGACAACTGTACTCCAACTGCCAATTCAGCAACAAGTCTCTAATTTTAGTCAAAGATTTTAACTGAGACTTTTTTTTCCCCCGATGTAGGGCTTATATCAGCAGTATGTGTACAAACGAAGCTACGGCTTATTTCAGGGGTGGGTCTTATTTTCACGGAAAAATTGAATCAATATTCTTCACTGTGTTCTTATGGAAATTTCCTTTCAGATTATAATTATCCATCCAGATCATCTACCATATTCTCATTTAGCCAAGCCATCAAAGCTGGTGCCAGCCGTTGTCATACTCTGACTGATACTAGGGTCCACGTGAGAATAAGTCTTCTTCTTCTTCTTCTGCTTTCCGTTCCCCCTGCCAGTGAATTTCAGATCAGAAGGCCACAGGTCTATGAAGTCTGTGTGCAGTGCATGTCCTCCATTTGTTTAACCAGAACACCAGCCGGCTAAACCTGGGATCTCTAGACTGACAAATGTGTAAATGAGAATATTTCTGGTGAACTGTGCTGATAAAGAGCTTGACTATAACCAGAGGTACTACCAGTTTTTCACTCTGCAGATTATAACCACATACTAAAGAATAATTTGAGGTACTATAGTAGGAGTAAATCTTCCTACCTCTTGAATACTGTTGTCTTCTACTTTTAGGTCAAATTCCGCATTTAGGACATCTTCTAGAAAGTCTTCCATTTCATACTGCTCTATACCAGCTGCAATGAGTTTATATTTTAAATACAGTTAGCACAACAATAGTGAATTGTTCTACTGTTAAATATTTAGCAAAATGAATCAATCAGTCAATTCAGAAATGCCAAAGGGGCTGAGTGGTCTGGAGGTATTGTGTCCGTCTCGAGTGATGGAGGTCCTAGTTTTCAGCCCGGATGAAGCTAATGCCGCTGCCGGGCAACATTTTGAGTTAAAAAATCTAACTAAAATATTTCAGGATTCTTGCAAGTCCATGCACTGCGCTGAGATTCTTCAGGCTCAGGTTGGAAGTAGAACAGAGCACTTTTGGGTTACAAACATCTGCCATGATGTTGATCCATTCAATAAACATAAACATAAAGAAATGCCTCACTGCACTCCGGATATACTACATGAGGCCTGCCTCCTTTCCCAAGAAAGGGAATCTAGCTTGTCTTCCATTTCTTACTACTCTAAACTCCCTCTTCTTCCTTCATCATTTCGAGCCTTTGAGGTTCACTGCTACAGATATCACCCGCTTCCATTCAGCTTTCTGGCTGGTTCCTTTTCAGCTGGTGACACCAAGTGCTTTCAGATCTGTCTGGATGTTATCTTTCCAACGTTCTCTTTAACTTCCTTGAGCACTTCATTTTTGACCTCTCCTGTTGTCAGACCTCTCAATGTACCCCAACCACTTCAGTCTCATGATGCCAGATTATGAATTTATTATGGCTTCTCATTCTCTTTTCCCTGCTGTTTGCATCTTTGATGGGCCCAAAGATTTGTCATAAGACTTTACAATTTATAATAAGGCTTCATCTCTTTTCGTTTTGCTCCAAAAGAGCAGAGAAATCCTTAGTATTTAAGATTCTGCTACAGACATTATGTCAAAACTACCTACCATTTTCTTTAAACCATGTTTCAATAGCCACCACCATCCAGTCAGCTTTTGCCCTGCTGTCGGCTCCACCAAAATGGTGTTCAACGGCCAACTGTAAGTGAAGAACAACTTAGTCAATTTATGGTGAATCAAAATATATTTATACATCTATATGAAAGTTGTGATAAACTGGATGAATTTTCGAACAAATAATGTCTACATGACAAAATGAGCTAACAAAAGCAATTATGCAAAAAAACAATGCCATAAACTTATTTTGCTTGTAAAATCTAACAAGAACATATCTTAACTGTATTAAGTATCGGGTAGGTGGGGGCAAAGTCCGGCAAGGGGCAAAAACATGCTGACCATTTGAATGTTCTGAATGTTGTTTTTTTGTGGCCCACTGCAGCTTGACCGTCACTGGCTAGAGGGTGTCCCCATGGGTTATCAAAATTCAGTCGAATTCTGCTGTCACCCACCAAGAAAATAAGGTAAACTACTTTTTTTTTTTCCAACTTTTAATGTAATACTGTGACTTTTGTCAGTGGACTTTTACACACACACACACAAAAGTATGCAATAAAGCTGTTAGTTATCTTATTCATCAAAAAGTAACACATCTGAATAGCAAAAATAGAGGTGTTCTGTCGAGGTTAGTTTATATATAGGGTGTGTTTTTGGCAGCCATAATATGTGCCCGTTATTAGGATAGCCGATAGCCTAGTTGCCTTTTATAACATGTATACACCTGTAGGGGCGAAAAAAAGGAAAAAAAGTGGGGGGGGGGGGGGGGTTATTATGTGATGTGACACAGGGGGACAGATGAGTCAGATGGTCACTGGTGATCATGAAGAGAGTGGTGTTTTGAAAAAGAAAAATTTTTTTTAAATCCAATCGTCCGGATGAATCTGTGACAGGAGAGGTCTGTCTGACACTGAAACACTGACAGTCTCCGAGTTCCATTTTTTGGTGGACTGTTGGTTTTTCTTCGTCGTAAAGTGTTAGTGTTTATTAAAGCCAGAGAAAAAAAATAATTGACCTGAGTATGCGTTTGCAGTAAAACAAACGTAGCCAAAACAAGTATATGGACATAATACGAAAGGTGTCACCTGTAACGCCGTCCAGCTGTTTAACACTCGGGACACCGCATTACCAAACATGCTTTGGGAAGAGGATGCCATTTTGTTGATATGGTTAATTAAAGTTAACGCTCGGCTTTTATAGAAAACAAGTATAGCAGATGTCGTGTACAGCTCGTTTATATCATAAAAGATAAAAAAAATATAAACAAGATGTTATTAATTAACTATGGTTTTAAAATTAGATTTATAATGCTGTAATAGTCTGCGCTGTAAATTTTAATTTCAAAGTAACGATTTCCGATACACATTTTTATACAATTGATGTAATCAGGAAGCTGAAGTGTCCAAATAATTACTTCCGTCTTCGGGTCCACTCTATCCGGAACGGGAGAGACCAGCCGACGCCGAAAATGTCAACACAGAAGCAGAAACCAACGAATACACCTTCAATTTTACTCCAAGAACAGGAAAATGAGATTCTGTTTCAAACAATGGGGAGATTTTGTACCGTGAGTGATCCTCCTAGAGTTGCAAATTCGTTGTGTTTTCCAAGTTAGTTGCGACAGACTGGATTAAATTATTAATGGCTTCTGCTGCTTCTCCCTTGGTCCTTCTGTTTTTCTGCTCTAAAAAGTGATCACTCACACTACACTGATTATATTATAACTTATTGGATTATAATAACAAAATATAGCTGCCTTAACTCCTTACTTACCTAGTCTATATTGTAGTAATTGATGCCCTAATGCCCCTAATTAAAATTGCTTATCATATGAGGTTCAACTTTTTGTTAGGATTCGTCTTCGCATGCTACTCTAGATACGACTCTATGAATTGCAGCGGTGTCATGTCAGACCTTGAAATGAAATGACTTGAGATGGTAGCCCAGAGAGGAAGACAGTAGCTGATAGACTGAATTCTGGCAATCCTTGTGAAGTAAAAATGTTAAATTATTGTGTGCAAGACCCAGGTCAACAGAAGACTTTCTAGAAGTTGAATGATAGAGCAAAATGTTTGAATTTCCATTTTGAAGTGTTGAAAACGTCCAACCCCAAAGGTCATTGTGTGACCCTAAGAATAGGTGTTGGTAAGATTCAGTGAGAAAATCTATCCTAATTGCTTTCTCACTTCTGCTGTTACTCATCATGATTTCCCCAGTCATCTCAGCATTACTGTGCCGTCTGATATTTGATAAAGTTGCAACTTATGTTATGTTTTGCCAAGCTGTTTAACATGTTTGCTTCATTATCATCTTTCTTGTGCAATTAGAAGACACAGAAGGCTTGCATTTGATTCATCCACTCTGCTCTCTTGCATGCAACTCTCTTGGTCTCTGACATAGAGTTCAGCACAGCATTTTTAGCTTCTTGTAATAATGTTATTGTTAATGTTTTCCTTAGGACGTCCTCTTTTTCTCAGACCTTTGTTCCCCATTTTATTACTTGTTTTGTAATTGTTTACCCATTAGACACTCCACCTTTGGCCTGAAGATCTTGGGTTTGAATCTGTATTGAGTCAGATTTATTTACAAATATAACCCTTTCTCTTAGGTTGACCCAATTTAAAATGGGTGCAAGTTAAAGTTTTGAGAAGTAAATACAGCCAACATAATGTAGACCCAGCCTAAAATGGGTGCGAGTTGAAGTGTTGGAAAGTAAATACAGCCAACATGTTGACCCACTGAGTGCTGACTGGTCTATAAAAATGTGAGACTAGCATTATATTTCCGATGTGCCACTGGAGTCAGAAAGAAAAACATTTTTTTTAAGTCCTTAGCTTACATTACAGACACCGGTCAACTTTATTCCCACGACTTCTACCTGGTACTCATTTAAGGCTGAGTTGACCTAGAAGTCAAGGTCATGTTTTTTTTTTAAAAAGGAGTCCCACGGCGTTCAGATCTACAGATGAGCGTCTAATCGCTGTACCACACGTGGCTCCTCCAGTGTTGATATACCATATTAATTTCATTTTCTGTTTTCCTGGTGGTTTCTATGATGAGTCAGTGTCTGTGGCTTAGGCGTTGCAAACGTGCTTCATAATGCCGGGATGCCAGGTTCTATCTCAGCTGCCTACTGTTTGTCTTGCATTGGTTTCGACATTAGGGGGTACGGGTTAGCGAAGTCGATAGGAGGCTCGCTTTCAAATCCAGCTGCGACTCACTGCAGCCACGGTCGGTGTTCGAAACCGGGTGGTTCCCGGGGTTCACCCAGCCTCTAAGGAAATGGGTACCAGAGTGACACTCTGGGGTAAATGGATGAATGTCGCTGTAGCTACAGAGTTAAATGCGGATGGCAACACAGGCGGACAGTTTCTTATCAGCTGTCGGTACTGGTAGCAGAGCACTTATGGTTTATAACCGTGTGCAATGACGCTGGTTCACATCTCCCGACTTTACCTTTAACATTTTACCTTTGGTTTCGACAGTGGTACCGAGAGCTGATTGTTTAGAAAACTTATGGCAAACTACTGAACGTAAAATTTGCCAAGAAAAACCACAACAGCCAGAAAATGCTAGAGTTGATTCTGCAATTTCCTGTAAAGGATACGCAACTAACTTTTCTATGATGAGCAATTCTGTCAATATGGCGCATGCCTGTCAGTTAAATGGCTACACAGTTGGTTGTGCTTGAGTTTTTAAATCCAATATTTAATCATTTGGATTCTTTGTCTCTACAGACTCTGGCCACTGGTGTTGTTCAGTTATTCCTGGCAGACCAAGGAGATCGTAACCGATGGAGCAAACGCTGCTGTGGTGTGGCATGTTTTGTGAAAGACAATTCCAAAAGATCTTTTTATATCAGAATTTATGACATAAAGGTAGTGTATATTTACTTAATTTTTCTGTTAATTCGAAATAGGTCTGTTGTGTTTGCTTGGGGCAAGAGTACTGCCTGGTCATTATGAGTCTGTTGTTTTATGCTTTGGACACATTGCTTTCTCTGTGGTTATGTAAGTAAGCTGTGTTTGCCCTGGGCAGTATGCTATCTCTGATTATTATATGAGTCACTTGTGTGTGCTGGGGACAGATATCTCTGTGATTGGGAGCTATTTGTGCCTGCTTGGGCATGAGTTAGTTGTTTGTGAATCACTTGTGTGTAATTGGGGCAGAGTGATATCTCTGTGATCATGAATCAGTTGTGTGTAATTGTGGCAGAATGATATCGCTGACTGTGAGCCTGTTGTGTGTGTGCTTTTTGCTGTGTGTTGTTTATGTGATTAAGCAGTGAAGTCGATCCTCTCGACTTTTGACTTAATGAACATTTAAATAAAAACTAGTCAGCTGTTCATAAAGGTAACAGACTTGTATGGTGAGGAATGGTGTGGCTAAATGGCTTATATCTATGTCATGCCCTGTTAGAAATTGGGACATTGGATTCTGGCTTTTCCTGCTAAAGTCATTGATGTTGTCATTGGACTTTGGTTGGGATATCTCATTAACACTGTCATGAGTAACAGAAAGCTTGGTTTTTTTTCTTGCTAAAACCATTGATGTTGTTATTTTATGTTGGTTGTGATATCTCAGCAACAATAAAATTATCATATATGACAAAGAGCTTCCGATATTGATGTTTCCTCTTAAAACAAATGTTCACTAAGTACTGAAAGCCGGTAAAATCTATTTGTAAATTGCTAAATCTTTTTTTCTTCTTCTTCTGCTTCACGTTCAATTGCTGTAAACTCCAGCAGAAAGTTCTAGACTTTAGTTTTTTTGTTCCAGAACTTGAGAGTTGTGTGCACATCTGTTTTATATATCCAAATTATCTATCTGCAGATTGTATTGTTGTTTCCTTGCCTCTCAGGCAGATGCACTCTGACTTCAAAGAAAGCTGCCAGTCGACTCTGACGGCAAGCTTGCTTGGAAGGCAGTCTTTCTATTCTTGTTTTCCCTACAAATTGCTAAATTGAAATGTATGGCTTAGAGGTTTGTTGAAAATGGAAGAGATTGGAGTTTTACCACATTAAATTACTAAAGACTCCTTGTGTAGTTTATAGGGTCCCACTGTTGGGTGAGAATAGACCCATTGCCCCCTAATAGGCATGTCATAGGAGGTGATAATTATGGGTGCATCTGCCTGAAAGGCAGGGAACCAACAGTCTGCATAAAGGCAAGGAACCAACAGCCTGCATTAAAAATGTGTGCGCATTCTGGATAATCATCTCGTAACACTGTGTGTTGTTAGGTTATCAGTTGCTGTTCACTGTCTGATCAGCTCCATCCATCTCTGACGGTCCTCAGATGCGATAGACTTTATGATTGCATGCCTAAGGCTTTGTCCAGTCAATCGTGTTTTTTTTTATCCAGATCTTTCTTGGGCCGCCTCTTCTCCTCATCCCCTCCACTCAACCCTGTAGTATTTTTTTTTAAAGACCATTAGATCTTATTACATGTCCATACCATTGCATTTTCCACCTTTTCACTACAGTTAAAAGAGATTCATAGTTAGCCAGTGTACTGGAACAAGGCTTATTTATAGTAGTGGACGACATCTGGAACTTTCTACTGGAGTTTACAGACGGGCGAATGTCAAGAAAAAGAATAAATTCCCAAAGACTACATTGGCTATATTGTAGCCAACCTTCATTGTGAAGATGGCACAGAATGGTTTTTTCTTTGACTTGAAAACAAAATGCATTCTTCTAACATGCTTGTTATCTAATTTCTCATTGTGTTTGATATGTTGTTCCTTGACCAGAAGCAGCAGATGATCTGGGAACAGGAGCTGTACAATCAGTTTGTTTACAAAACTCCACGAGAGTATTTTCATACTTTTGAAGCCGAGGTAAGAATCTTTATCTGTTTTTAGCTAGCATTTTAATATTTAAAACAGTTTTTTTTTTAAAGTGGCAATTTAACTATTTTGGAACCCAGGGAGGAGGGCTTAGCATAAGAGTTGAGTTGAGTCAAGAATTGACATAACAGCACTGGGTGCATTCCCAGGCATGCTCCGTCCTCATCTTTAGCAGCCAGCGCAGACTTCCAATACTGATGGTACCGGTCACAATCTGGTTAAATGTCCGTCTTGCCTTTCCTTTTAGTGTAGTCAGCCGGCCAGATCCTCTGGTTACACCCAGATGCCTTTTTCCTCTCAAGGCCATAGTAATCTTCTATCTGGGAGCATTAGTCTGTGGAATCATAATTGTAGTCAGAGAGTGCTGCAAGTAGGTATGATGAATGAGGACACTCCAGGGAGCCATTATCTAATAGATGGATGTTATCAGAGAATAGTATTAACAGTAAGCCAGCTCTACAATCCATAACAGCCTTCGCATATCATCACCTATGTTGAATTAAGAATCGACATCACAGCCCTCGTGACATTCCCATAAGTGCTCAGTCCCCATTTTCAGCAGCAAGCGAAGAGTTCCAATTCCGATGGTACCAGTAACCGTCTGATTATATATCCGTCTCATTCTTCCCCTGGGTGTTGAGCGTCAGCCAGATCCCCCTGGTAACTCCTCGCAACGGCCATTCTCCTTAGACCGTAATTCATAGCTTACTTCTGATTGTTCTGGGGCCACTTTTCTAGGTTGATCAATGCTGAAGCTTTGTAGTTGTTACAATTTGTTACAATTTTCCGCTCAGAGCCTGTGTATTTATGTCTCATTTTAACTTGTATTTGTACATGGTTTGACCTGTTGATCTGATTATTTTAATGCATGTTCTAAATATTGAGAAATGCCTTTGCCTTATTAATTAGGACACTTATTGTGATGTATTTTAATAATTGCTGAAGACATTTGTTTAATATATTCGGCAGAATTACCAGGCGGCGTTAAATTTTGCTAGTGAGGACGAAGCCTTAAAATTTAAGAAAACAGTGGAAGGGAAACTGCAGGAGCGGAGTAAAAAACGTCAAGGTGTGAATGTTGTACTGTCTGTATGTTTGTCTTTTGATGCCTCTTCTACTGCTGTTTCTTTCCCAAAGGAGCATAGATCCTCAACCAGTTCACCCCAGTCTTTTTTATAACATTCTAGAATTCTCCTTGTTTTGCTTTTTCTGCCTATATTCTTTTGACTCTAACAGTTCATTGCACCAACAGTATAATAAAATTGTTTTCAGTTGTCATGTTTGTCCTATCCAACGCCAGCATCTTTTCCTCACCCCTTGATTACCGGAATCACAAAATGAGCATTGAAATGGGAAACAAATGATTTGAGGCAGTGAGGATGTCCAAGAGAAACCCTGTGGTGGATTTTATTGAGAGAAGCCAGAGGTGTTACTGGATTTCATACAAGAAACCGAAAGGAAGGCACACATCTTTATACTGTAGTAGAGGCCGACCCCAACATCTTCTACCCATCTGTAATTCATCATAGAGGATGTGACCTGGCCACCACCTGAGCTTTTAGAGCCTAAGCATTTCAGAAAAATGTAATACCAGCTCTTTCACTCAGGATCTTCTAGAAAAAATGTTTAGACAGCTTCACTCAGGATCTTTATCTAGTGAAATGTTTAGACAGCTTCACTCAGGATCTTTATCTAGAGAAATGTTTAGACAGCTTCACTCAGGATCTTTATCTAGTGAAATATTTAGACAGCTTCACTCAGGATCTTTATCTAGAGAAATGTTTAGACAGCTTCACTCAGGATCTTTTTCTATGGAAATGTTTAGACAGCTTCACTCAAGATCTTTATCTTGAGAAACGTTTAGACAGCTTCACTCAGGATCTTTATCTAGTGAAATGTTTAGACAGCTTCACTCAGGATCTTTATCTAGAGAAATGTTTAGAGAGTCCACTCAGGATTTTCTAGAAAAATGTTTAGACAGCTTCACTCAGGATCTTTATCTAGTGAAATGTTTAGAAAGTTCACTCAGGATTTTCTAGAAAAATGTTTAGACAGCTTCATTTAGGATCTGTATCTAGTGAAATGTTTAGACAGCTTCACTCAGGATCTTTATCTAGAGAAATGTTTAGACAGCTTCACTCGGGATCTTTATCTAGTGAAATATTTAGACAGCTTCACTCAGGATCTTTATCTAGAGAAATGTTTAGACAGCTTCACTCAGGATCTTTTTCTATGGAAATGTTTAGACAGCTTCACTCAAGATCTTTATCTTGAGAAACGTTTAGACAGCTTCACTCAGGATCTTTATCTAGTGAAATGTTTAGACAGCTTCACTCAGGATCTTTATCTAGAGAAATGTTTAGAGAGTCCACTCAGGATTTTCTAGAAAAATGTTTAGACAGCTTCACTCAGGATCTTTATCTAGTGAAATGTTTTGAAAGTTCACTCAGGATTTTCTAGAAAAATGTTTAGACAGCTTCATTTAGGATCTGTATCTAGTGAAATGTTTAGACAGCTTCACTCAGGATCTTTATCTAGAGAAATGTTTAGACAGCTTCACTCGGGATCTTTATCTAGTGAAATATTTAGACAGCTTCACTCAGGATCTTTATCTAGAGAAATGTTTAGACAGCTTCACTCAGGATCTTTTTCTATGGAAATGTTTAGACAGCTTCACTCAAGATCTTTATCTTGAGAAACGTTTAGACAGCTTCACTCAGGATCTTTATCTAGTGAAATGTTTAGACAGCTTCACTCAGGATCTTTATCTAGAGAAATGTTTAGAGAGTCCACTCAGGATTTTCTAGAAAAATGTTTAGACAGCTTCACTCAGGATCTTTATCTAGTGAAATGTTTAGAAAGTTCACTCAGGATTTTCTAGAAAAATGTTTAGACAGCTTCATTTAGGATCTGTATCTAGTGAAATGTTTAGACAGCTTCACTCAGGATCTTTATCTAGAGAGATGTTTAGACAGCTTCACTCAGGATCTTTATCTAGAGAAATGTTAAGTCAGCTTCACTCAGGATCTTTATCTAGAGAAAGGCTCAGTGTTTGTGGTCTTGTCTTGATACTTAATGCCAAGTAATCTTCTTGGGCGTGTAAAAGCTGTTTAAGCAATTTCTAAATATTATATTGTATATTATATTTGCAAAACTGAATCTATCATTCTTGTAACATAGTCTTCTTTTAATTATTATCTACTGCCGTAGTTGAACAAGCACTCTGGTGGTATACATACCCGTTCTGTGTCCTCAAGTGGACAAAGCACTTGTATAATATCCTCGGCCTGACCCATTCATGATTTTCCTCTCTTTAATCTGATGCCTTTTCTTTTTCTGATTTAATTGGGTGTTGTGTGTTGGCACTGACTCATAGGTAGGGGTGTGCTTGACATCCTTATTCTAGCTTCCATTGTTGGAAAACCAATGAGGTACCGCATTGCTCTGCATGCTGTATCTTTAGTTCACCCAAGTATAATGCACATGGCCTCGTTTTGTATCTTTTCCAGTCTCTCTAACTGGGTCTGGCTAAGAGTAAAGTGTGAACCCAGTGTGAATGACGAAGCTTAACCCTCCTCCAGTTTAGCACTGTGGTCACTGGGAGTGTTTGCGCTTGTCTTATCAGTATTTTCCCTTTCTTAGCTTTTCAGACCAGCTGCAATGCTTCTCTAATATTTATGAAGTTTCATGTTGCTCCCTAACATAAATCTTTACTGTTTTATTATTATTATTATTGCTTTTTCTTCTCATTGTCATGTAGGAGGTCCTTTGTAAAATGGTCTGCCTGAAGGAAACTCTGTCTCTTGCCAGCTCTCCCACCTCTTGCACTTTCAAATCCAAGGAGTAAATTACATCCTATGCCCATCTTCACTTTGGTCGGCTCCTGGCTTCCTTCCTGGTACCATGCCTTCTGCTATTATTTTTTCCCCAGTCCTCCAAGACGCTTGATATGGCCAAAATATTTCAGCTTCCAAGACAAGATGTTGTTTATTAGCCAATCTTCCTTAATGTTCAGATCTTTTAGAATGTCAATATTTCCTCTCTTCTTTTTCTGTAAATTATTTCATAAGTGTGAATTTAAATTTCAGAGCGCAAGAAGACTACAACCCCAAAGCAGGGAGGGAGACCAGTGGGTGCTGCTCCTCAGCGTGAGTACCACTAACTTAATGTCATTTCACTGATTGATTGGTTTCAAGTTATATTGCTTGAAAGAAGAAAATAAAGCATGTTATGGCATTGAGTGGACAAAATCTTTCCCACATCGTCATTAAGTCCTTTACAGAACAGCGTTGTCTTCACGCACAGCTGAAAGGCTCTTTCCACTAACTAAATGTCATTTCATTGATTGACTGTTTTCAAGTTATGTTGCTTGAAATAAAAAATAAAGCATGTTATGGCATTAAGTGGACAAAATCTTACCCACATCGTCATTAAGTCCTTTACAGAACGTCATTGTCTTCGTGCACAGCTCAAAGGCTCTTTCTCTAGCCAGTTCTGCAGGTCTGTATGCTTTCTCAGTCAGTGCATCTTCAGTATCTTGTATCCACATTCGGGTTGTTGTTGTTGTTGTTGAACCAGCGGCGCATGAGCTTTGGCCCAATGCCATGTAGTGGAGTTTACATGTTTTCACAAGCTGTTATTTTCCTCCGTACAAGGTGTTTCACCTGTCTGGTCTTGGAGAGAGTAGCATTCTTCTAGTCTCGTTGTTTCCACATTCAGGTCTGCCTCTGATTTGTTTTTTGTAAACTACCCACTGTCACCGTTCTTTCTAGGCCACTATATCATTTAACATGGCCAAAACATCCCAGCTTCCTGGTCAAAATAATGTTTATGAGCCAGTTCACCTTGAGACTTAGATCATGTATGGTGTCATTGGTTCTATTCTGCTTGGTACATCATCATCAGGTGCCTTGCCGACTGGCATAAGCGATCATGCCTCTCCACAATCTGCGATCTCCTGCAGCATGTACCAGTTCGTGTGTAAACACACCTCCTTGCTATGCAACAAGACTGTCAAAAATCTTCTCTCATTGTCTTCCTCTGTCCCTCTTTCCACAGATCTTTCCAGTGGTCACATGTTCTATTTTCCCTCTTCTCATAAGATGGCCGAAAAATGATGACTGTCTCCCTCTGATTTCTGTGATAAGTTGTCTTTGGGCTCCCACCTCTTTCAAAACCTCTTGGTTGCTCTTTTTGGGTGTCCAAGGTATTCTAAGCATTCTTCTGTAAAACCACATCTCTAAGGCCTCAAGAAATTGTTTGGCCTGCCTACCGATTGTCCAGGATTCACAGCCATATGTTAAAACTGGATGTGTGTAGCAAGCAAGAATTCTTTTTCTAACTCTCAATGACAAGAATAAATTGCACAAGATATTCTTCCTTTTATAAAATGCAGTTTTTGCCTGTCCTATTCTGTTTCTTATCTCAGTTATGCATCTTCCCTCTGATGTTATCCATGTGCCCAGATACTTAAATTTCTGTACTTGTCTCAAAGTAACACCATCGACGTTTATTACACATTTAGGAATAATTCATTTCTTTGATACCACCATTACTTCTGTCTTCCCATTATTCAAACTGAGGCCCATTCTTCCACTTTCTAACACCACAGTGTCTATTATTTCCTGTAGTTCTTTCTGACTTGTTCCTATCAAGACTGTGTCATTAGCATAACGTAAAATGTTTATATTGTGCCCACCAACCACAATTCCAGGCATATAAAGATCTCTTTATATATTCACTGTATTTTGAAAACAAATCAGGTGACAGTAAACATCCTTGTCATGCGCCCCTCTTTATACTTTGAAATGTACCTAAACAGTTGTTAATTCTTATAGATGTTGTTTGCTGCCAATACATATTCTTTATTATTCGTAAATCTTTTCCATCAATGTAAAATTTTTCTGAAAGCTTGATTACTTCTTCGTGCTTCACACCGTCAAATGCTTTTGTATAGTCTATGAAGCATAAGTACTAATCAGTCTTTACTTCTATAGCTCTTTCTCACAATGTCCTTAAGATGTATATGGCATTGTTTGTACCTTTTCCTTCTACAAATCCACATTGTTCATTGCTGATGTTTAATTTTGTTTCTTATTTTTCCTATAATTATTCTCAGTAAAATCTTAGTCATGTGGATTATAAGGCTTATTGTGCAAAGGTCTTCACATTTTAAAGTGCCTGGTTTCTTTGGCAGAGCTATAAATATGGATTTTAAAAGGTCATTTGGAATATACCCACTGTTATAAATATCATTAAAAGTTTAGTTATTATTTTAATTCCAAAATCTCCCAGTGCTTCGATTTCTTCCAGTGAGATGTTGTCTGGCCTGGGTGCTTTTCCTTTCTTTGCATCCTCAACTTCTGCAGTCATTATTGGTGGACCATCATTGTTGGTCTGCAGTTCTACATCTGGTCTATTATCATCATACAATTCCCCTATATACTCTGTCCATCTGTTAATTACTATGTTCTTTTAATAAGTCACCATCTTTTGATTTTAAACATCCAGTGCTGTTACTTGTCATCTTTCCTGTTAACATATTTATCTGTTCCTGTAATTTTCTACAATCTCTGTACACATTTGATTCAGCCAGGCATCTTTAGCCACTTTGCATTTGTTCACTATTTCTTTTTTGTGTTCTAGAGTATTCATCTCTATCATTCTTTTTCTTCCTTCTTTCATCCATCAGCTGCAGAATTCTGGTTGACATTCATTTCTTTTTTGTGCTTTATTCTAGGCTTGGTACATAGCAGTTTTAAAAACACAAAAAAACATTTGTTTAATCTGAACATAAAGATTGACTATCTTATACTTTGATGGTGTCATTTTTTTAAAACATGAAATACTTTTCAAATTATTTCAAATTCCGTTAATGTGAGGAGAGAACAGTAGTCGAGAATATGGTTTCTGGAGGATGTTGAGCAAAACGGCGGAGGGCACAACATATCAAGGACACCCTTAGTGGGAATGTTGCCAGAGGACTAAGTGGGTTTCAAGCCTGCCATAAGGAGAGCGATAATTGCCAGGGGAGTGAGAGGGTTTTAAGCCTGCCATAATGAGTGATAATTGCCAGAGGACTGAGTTGGTTTAAATCCAGCCATAATGAGAGCGATAATTGCCAGGGGACTAAGTGGGTTTCAAGCATGCCATAATGAGAGCTATAATTGCCAGGGGACTAAGTGGGTTTCAAGCATGCCATAATAAGAGTGATAATTGCCAGGGGATTAAGTGTTTTTCAAGCATGCCATAATGAGAGTGATAATTGCCAGGGGACTAAGCTTTTTTCAAGCATGCCATAATGAGAGTGATAATTGCCAGGGGACTAAGTGTTTTTCAAGTGTGCCATAATGAGAGTGATAATTGCCAGGGGACTAAGTGTTTTTCAAGCATGCCATAATGAAAGTGATAATTGCCAGGGGACTGAGTGGGTTTGAAGCCTGCCATGATGAGAGCGATAATTGCCAGGGGACTGAACGGGTGTCAAGCCTGCCATGATGAGAGTGATAATTGCCAGGGGACTGAGTGGGTTTCAAACCCGCCATGATAAGTGTGATAATTGCCAGGGGACTAAGTGTTTTTCAAGCATGCCATAATGAGAGTGATCATTGCCAGGCGACTAAATGGGTTTCAAGTGATAATCTGCATAAGGCCTGCTGCCTGACTGTGATGATGATGATACACAAGGTTAGTTTGAGGAGTCATTGAAAAAAAGGATAACTCATACAGAAGCCACAATTCTCAGAAGTGATAATTTGCCCAGGAAAGGGAATAACCACTGTAAATAAAGGGGCTGCACAGACAGTGAAAGTAGCCACTGGGGAAGCCAGGTTTTGAGGACATGGAATATCATCACTGGGGAAGCCAGGTTTTGAGGACATGGAATATCATCACTGGGGAAGCCAGGTTTTGAGGACATGGAATATCATGGAATGATAGAGCAACAAATGAGGCAGTAGTCCTCGAGATAAATGAAAGCTGCAAACTGATTAGATAAATTAGACAACCAGTGGGTTTTTGTGTGGACCGGTTATAAAAAAGTAGACTCTTAGAATACCATGGACAAATACCACCATATGACCAAGCCATCCAGATGTTTATCTCTTTTCCTCTTTTTTTCCCCCTCTCCTTTCATCAGTCATTAACACCGTTCTTGAGTCCGCTTTTTCTCATAACAGGTCTGGAAAAAAACACTGACTGTCTAATTTATGTAATCAATCTGCAAATCTCATCTGTTGCTCTATATTTCCATGATATTCTTTGCATTCTTCTCAGAAACCATGTCTCCTCTGCGAATAGAGGTTTTTGAGCTTGTCTGCTTCTTGTCCATGTCTCATATGCATATAACAACACAGACTGTTGAGTTGAGTCAAGAATTGACATCACAGCACTCGGGGCATTCCCGTGCATGCTCCATCCTCATCTTCAGCAGCCAGCGCAGAGTTCCAGTCACTGTCTGTTTAAAAGTCTGTCTTGCCTTTCGTCTGAGTGTTATGAGCCGGCTAGACCCTCAGGTTACACCAAGCTGCCTCATTCTCTCTAGGCTGTAATAATCTTCTTTCTCTACTGATTCCATTGCTTGTTCCCAAAGGGCCTTGACCACATTCAGCCAATCTGTCTGCCTGTTTATTACCCACCACGCCGGCATGGCCTGGAGAAAAGATGACCTTTCCAGTGAAGCTTGTCACTCTGCTCGAGGCATCCCTGTCTTCACTTTTTTCAGCATGCTTTCAGAGTCTGTTACAATTACTACATGTGTATGCATCTTGTTCTCTAGCCACTGGAGAGCTGCAGTTACCGCCTCCACCTCCATTCTCATACTAGATGTTGTGGTGTCATATGCTAGGCTGTCTTGCACTAAAGATTATCTACTGGCTTTCGCTACGAACCCCACAGAATCTATGATAGCACATTAACCCTCTGTTTCTCTTTGAAGCTGACATCTTCTTATTGGGTAAAATCTTTTGCAACTCGCTGAAGACTACTTTTGCCATGACGATTCTTGTTGTAATTTCTGCAAGGCATATCTGGCTTCAGATATTTTGATTTTTCTAAGATTTCTTTAATACACTCTGATGAGAATTAAAAAGTTTAAAGTAATGGAAGCAAAGCCAGAGGTCAGTCACGCAAGTGATGGATAGATGGATTATCCAAGGCCATAAATATCAGCATCTACATAGCACATACCATGGCTCTCACCCGATGCCTCTTCAAAACTGACACAGAAAGGCAGATCAGATGGTGGGAATTCATCACAAAGAGCCTGCCACGCTCAGTTTTTTTTTTTTAAACCATAGTGCTGGTCTTTAAGAGAAGCCTGCCATCATCAAGACAGTTTTCCTTTGGAGCCTTAAGGAGTGGTGGTGCTGAATTATTTCCAGAGTGTTATTGAAATAACTGTTATAAACTGTTTTAATGATCTTTTAAACACAGAATACAAAATCAGTTGAATGCTAGGAATAAAGCCAGCCTTACAGGTCATCAAAGAACAATACCTACCAAGAATGCCCTGGTACTATCTACCACAGCAAGCCACACTGAAACATTACAACGGGTATGGAGCGAGAGAAAGAGCTCAGAAAATATGGAGTGATGGCTTTAAAAACAGCCTTACAGAAATGAACATCGGTCTTAATAGTGTTCTTGACAGAGATCATCAACGAATGTTACATCTCCCCCCCCCCCCCCCCCCCCCCCCCCCCCCCCTCCCGACACTTTGATGAGGTGCAAGGTGAAAGAGAAGAAAAAGAAGAAGAATGATCCTGGGGAGTGGGGGCAAATACTTGGGGAAATATAAACTGGAAAATGTACAACTGAAAGGGTTTATAGAAAAAGCAAGACTGGAAGACAAGAAACAAATCTTGTCAGCATGATGGGGAGAAGCATAACAACTCGTACTTGCTGGCAAGGCACATAATGATGGTAATCATTCAAATGAATGTTCTCTTTATGAAAAGAGTGATTATTGCTCATATGAATGATCTTCCTGTGTGACATTTGGGGCTCCATTTTGGAGAACAAACAATAGGCCCTCTGCCCCCCTCCATAACAAGCATGTCCTAGGAGGTGTCTGATTAGGAGAAAGTTCTGGTTGTTCGTCCACTTCTGGACTGCAGTCCTGTTACAGAATCTGAGGGTTGCATGTGCATCCATTTGTCAGATCTGACACATTTGCCTCTCAGGCAGATGCACTCTGACTTCGAAGGTAGCTCCCAATTAGTCGACTCTTACGGCATGCTTTTTGAGTAGGCAGTGGGTCTATTCTTGTTTCCCCTAAATAGGACCCCAAAACCCACACAGGGGAGCACAAATCTGTAAAATGGATTTGCATTGCTCAAGTGCTTCATCAAGACCAAAAAGAGTGGATGAACAACCAGAACTTTTTGCTAGAGATTACATTTTGAACACTAAAAAGAAGAATTAATTTTCTCATTGACACGTAAAATTATAATAATTTGTTCATAGCTAGGCTCTGTATCAAATCTTTAGTCTCCCTCACATTTAACAGATTACTTACTTTGAACTGACAGGGTCACCTCAGCAAAGCGCTCCATCGGCCCAGCCGGTAACACACAGTGTGGATCTCGGACGCAATAACAACTTGAATACTAGCACAGGGTCCCTGAAGAAAGACAAGAAGAAAGATGCGAAGAAGAAACTCACTAAAGCAGATATCGGAACTCCTTCAGACTTTAGGTTTGCCTTTTGCTTTCTGCTTATTTCTTGGCATTTTGCTCTTAGTTGTAAATTCAGTGTCACAGTCTCTTTTGAATAACTTTGAGATGGAAGAAGCTAAAGTAACAACAGAGACAAAGTTGGTTGAATGATGATGCAGTGAATTTGTTAACAGGGATGAAGAGTTGCACAATTGTGTCAACCTCACCTGAATGCACCTGGATCCAGTGGCAGGACAACTCTGGAGATGAAGTTAGGTGCAATGGATGACCAAAGTCTTCTACGTGCCCCACTGTGCTCTTTACACTTCACATCATATTTCTGATACTTGCCAATTAAATTATAGCAGAAGGCATGGTACCAGGGAGAAGGGCAAGGCCAACCAACACGAAGATGGGCACAGGATATAATTGACTCCTTAAGTTTGAAAGTACATGAGGCGGGAGAGCTGGTGAGAGACCGAGTTTCTTACAGGCAGACTGTGATGAGAGCGACATTCTGCAAAGGACTTGCTACATGATGATGATTACTTACCTTATTAATGTTGAATTAAGAATCAGCATCACAGCAACTGGGACACTTCCATAAGTGCTCAATCCCTACCTTCAGCAGTAAGCGTAGAGTTCTTCAGCAGCAAGCATAGAGTTCCAATTCTGATGGTACCAGTAACCATCTGATTGTATATCTGTCTCATCCTTCCCACTGAGTGTCAAGCATTTCCAGATCCCCTTGTAACTCTTTGCAGTACCATTCTCTTCAGACCATAATGATCTATCTGCGCCCCTGAACTATTCACTCGCACCCAAAGGGCCCTCACAATATAAGACTTGTCATGCATCAGTTCACCACCAAGTGGTGCAGAGCCAGACAGTCTATCTGCCTGCTCATTGCCCAACACACTGACATAACCTGGAGAAAATATCCAAAGGATGCTAACTACCCAGGACCTCTGAAGTGATGCTTGCCACTCTGCACGAAGCCTGCCTGTTTTCACCTTTCTCAACATGTTATGTGAGTAATAAAACTGAGTCCCATCTTGAAACAGGTTACTGATTAACCATACATAATTTATTTTTTCATATTAAAGCCCCACCCAGGCTGAACTTCAAGTTCCTTTGTAACTATCATTGGGGACCCTAATATAGCCTTATGGTTGAATAGGGTTTCTGGGACTTGCTCCTGGTGAATTCTCATCTGAATGGTGGCACTTTGTGTCACCAGGTGTTAATTACTGGTTATGCGGTCTTGATGGGGTTGAACGTCACTCAGAGCAGGTTAGGAACTGCTACTGTAATGTCATTTTCAGTTTATTTTTATTTTTAAGCGGCACCCGTGGATTAGGCATTGCGAGTCCGACTTGTAATAGCAACGTACCGCGATGGAAACCCACTGCTGGCTGCGTGGATTTTTACCATGGTATGAGGCGTCACAGGTCGACCCAGCTTAAAATGGGTACCAGGAAGTATGTCTTGGGAAAACAGGGATGGCCGGCGTAATGCTGACCACATTACCCACCTAGTGTCGATTGGTCTGTAAAATTTGGGTGCTCTTCCCATATGCCCGATGCACCTAAGGCATGAAAAGGGATGTTTACTTTACTTACTTTACTATTAATTTTTAATTCCAGGCATGTCAGCCATGTTGGTTGGGATCCAGACAAAGGCTTTGATGTAAGTTCTGTTATATGGAGAATATGCTACATAATCATAGTGAAATAATCTTTTGTGTTTAAAAGTATCATCATCATTGGCTGTAGGATGTAGAGGATGACTGGGTGGCTTAGGGGTTAGTTAAATCATTTCACAGTGTAGTCTAGGGTTTGATTCCCAAGTTGGGGGGTGGGGGGAGGAGAAGGTCTGTTGTGACTTTTGAGCAGTGCTAGTGAGGTTTGCCGGCCACACAGAAGAGTTTGGGCCCTTACCACCTGATGTTCCCATAGTTAGCATTGAATACATTGCAGCCAACCTCTGTTGTGGAGATGGCACCATTTTCTCTTTGTTTCATCCTCATCCTTATTTGAATGGGGTTGTGCATCAATATGCTCATAGTCTGTGCCTCTGTATGCCTCTATTATTCTGTTCTGTCCTGCACAATCCTTTTAAAAACGTGGATGGAGTCCAGTGCTAAGCCTTTGGCATTTCATATCAGCGTTCATCTTAGTCTTTCTCATTTCAGTGCCTGTTTGATGGTTGTTGTCCACTGCACCTCAATATATGCTCAGTAGATTGCCGTCTTCTTCATATTCTTATTCTACTTCTTCTGCATTCTTCCGAAGATTTAATTGTGTTGTGCATATTGACAGCACGACTGCAATATTTGCTCCTTTGGGCTGACACATCCTTCTTCTGCAATCATTTGTTGCCGGGGTTAGCCTTCCCGGTTGTTATGGATTTTGAAACCTGCTGTCACTTTGCCAGTGTATCATAACTTCTTTCTGTGTTTTCCTGGCAGTCACAGTTGTTACCTAAATAGGTAGTCTAGTCTGTTACTTTAATTGATTTTTGTCTTCAGTATAATGGCACAACAGGAGAATGAATGAATGAGTGAGTGAACATGTTTGCAAATGTCCCTGCAACATTTCTTCTTACTTTTTATTCCAATCTCCCTAGGACCTTTGAGTTTGTTTTTGTTTCCATTAATTACATTATGAATGAATTAATGAGTGAATGAATGAATTGGTCTGGACAGTTAAAAAAAAAATAACTTAAACAGCTTCATGCACATGTTCCAGCTTCTCTGTTTGGCTGTGAAATTCATTATTTGTTCATAGATAATCAAATAGAATCAAATGGTTTGGCCAGAATGGAACAAATCAGCCAGCAGCTAGAGCGTACTACATGAGAATAGCAGGCTACAAGGCAGAAGGCTTAACCCCCCCCCCCCCCCCCCCCCTTAAAAAAGAGATGAGTGGAGGCAGTAAGAGAGACACTATAGAAACACAATATGACACTAACACAAGCTACACAACTAGAAAAAGACATCATCATCATCATCACCTGCCTTGCCAACTCGCGTGGGTGATCATGCCTCTCCACAATCCCCTATCTCCTGCAGCATGTATCAGTTCTTGTGCTGACACAACTCCATGCCATGCAACAAGACTGTCAAGAATCTTCTCTCGCTGTCTTCCTCTATCCCTCCTTCCACAGATATTTCCAATGGTCACTACATATTCCATTTTCCATCTTCCCATAACGAAAAATGATGTCTCCTTCTGTCTGTGAAAAGTTGTCTTTGGGCTTCCGCCTCTTTCAAAACCTCTAAAAGACAGCAAACTACATATAACTCCTCTCTGCAATGCTTTGCCGCATAGTCAGAAGAAGTTCCCAGAATTACTTTCCTGTTTTTTGTTTCATATGCAGATGAACAATTTGGATCAGGATATGCAGCGGCTGTTCCAGTCTGTTGGTATAAAGCCGGAGGATAAAGTAGACAAGGAAGTTGTCGACTTCATCTATGATTTTGTGGAAAAGCATGGAGGCATTGAAGCTGTTAAGAAAGAGTTTGGACCTGGAAGTGCAAAGGGTAATGTTGATTTTTTTTCATTTCCATAATCGTATTTTAATACTATTATACACCCCCCCCCCCTTTCCCAATTGTGTTTTCAAATTACTTTTTTTTTTTTTAATTCCTTTTCACGCCTTTTGGCGCATCGGGCATATGGGCAGAGCGTCCCATATTTTTACAGACCATCAGCACTCTGTGGGTAATGTGGTCATTACTTTCCCAGGACAGCCCATCCTGGTACCCATTTTAGTTACTACCTAGACTAAACTGGGCTATTGATGTTTGACCGTTATGTCTCCTGTCAGTGACATAAGAATGAGGGTGTAGGCCGCCCCAGCTGGCTTCGCTGGAGGGGTGGGGGGAGACGATTCGATTTGCTGCTCTTTTTATGTAATGTAGAATTGTTTCTGTGCTGACTTTTTCTCATTTGTGATTTTATCTCTTTTGGTTATCGTTAACATTATGAAAGTAGTCCCATATCCGGAAACTGCTTCAGTTTGTGATTTAATTTAAAGGATGTTTAGCTAACTTTATTTTGTTTTATGTCAACAGCAATGCCTCCCCCACCACCACCAGCAAACAGAGGCAACGCAGCAGCTGTCCCACCCCCTCCGCCATCACGCGTTGTTGCCCCGCCTGTATCTCGTGCGGCGGTGCCACCACCTCCGCCTCCATCTCGTGGGCCACCAATGGCTCCTCGAGGAGTAGCTCCGCCTCCACCATCAAGAGTCATGCCTCCACCGCCATCTAGAACACCTGCCATGGCACCACCGCCTCCACCTTCCTCCATGCCTACTCCACCACCTCCTCCTCCTCCTCCTGCAGCATCTGCTGCATCACCGCCGCCGCCACCACCACCTTCTGGGCCTGCGGCGCCACCTCCCCCGCCTCCACCACCACTACCTGCTGATTTATCCGGAGGTGGTGAACGTGATTCCCGTGATTCACTCATGGACGCCATCAGGTACATTAAAAGAAGTATATATAATTCTTGTAAAACAGTTTCCAATCATATTAGAAAATGTTTAAATAAGCCATTATCTCATTTTATAACAATTGATAGTTTATAATAGCTTTTGTAACCTTCACCTCTTTTGTAATAACAAAATAACCCACTCATGCCATTTATAAAGTTTTATTTTTCTTAAAGTAAGTAATGGACCTTTCCCACCTGTGGTGGATATATAACACTGTACTACAACATCTGGTTTGAGAATGGAGCTGGATTGTACCTGACTCACATATTATTTTAAGAAAGATGGTAATACAGTTTGCAGAGTGGCAACCATCGCTTAATAGGTTCAGTGTAGATCATCATAGTCTGAAAAGAATGGGGCAAAGCAGTGACCCGGTGATCAACAGTTATGGGGAAAGGCAAGTGGGATATTCAGACTGTTACTGATACAATCATAATTTGAACTCTGCACTTGCTGCTGAAGAAGAGGATGAAGTGGTTATAGGAATGTCCTGAGGGCTGTGGGGATGGTTCTTAACTCATCATATAACAGGCAACTGCCTGCGCCCTTTTGTAATAGTAGCTATTTTAGTCAAAATTTAAAAATTGGGTTTTTTACTTTTAAACCAAGACAGCTGAATAGAGGTTGAAAACCCGAGTCCAACGGTACCTAAATGAAGTCTGTATGTCAATTCTAAGCGGAGTTATTCACATTTCAGTGACGGAAAGTGCCCCCCAAAAATTATAATGGATAACCCAAAAATGGTGAAACTATGGGGGTGACTGCAGTCAAGCTAATACAATGAATTCCAGAGAAATATGACTAAAAAGCTCAACAAAATAGGAAAAAGGAAAACGTGCACAAAACAACACAACGTAACGTTTCGACCGGGCGGCCTTTTTCAAACAGAAGTGGACTACACAAACGAGGAATGGAGAGTATGTAGATCTCTAAGGGGTGACGTGAGCGACGTTTAAAAAATTTGATGCGGAATAAATGAAAAAAAAGAAATGCAAGTGTTAATGATACATAAATGATATTGATAAGAAATAGAATATGGTAATAATATGAAATAAAA